CCTGCTCTGTGCACACCTGCTCCCAGCCTGCCTATTAGCTCTCTCTTTGTTTAGTCTCATATAAATACACTCTCTGCTCTGTTCTTCTTTGCTGGGTCCTCGTCAAATTTCCTCCAACTCCGTCTCTCTGAGCCTTCCTCCTTGTGATTTTGATCCCCCTGATGTCTTAATGTTTTCTGGTACGTTTTCACTAGTTTTCATGTTTAGATGTTTGGACTCCTGGTTTCATGTTTGTTTGGACTTTGTTTTCTTTTTGGATTTTTGGATTACCTGCATCTGTTTTCAGTTTACTCATTATTAAATCCTCACGATATTCACCTCTGCCTCCCTGCCCCTGCTTTTGGGTCACCAAACCACAACCTAATCCTGACGTCATGTTTAATGTATATTATGCAGTGGAGCAAGAAAATATTGAGTCACCCACTGATTGTGAAGTTCTCCCTCTGGAATATTCATCTTAACAACAATTTCATTACTAGACAAAAATAACAAAATCCACTGCAACAATGAATGTGTTAGGAATTCAGTTTGTGTGGTCTGTTTTGGGGTTGTTTTTGTGTTTTTCCCTCTCTCCACCACCAGGTGATGCCCTGTCCTTTTTGGTCCTCCCTGCACACCTGAGGCTCATTGGACCATTATCTGGAGGAGTATTTGAGCAGTGGACTGTCACTACCTCGAGGGCAGACCAGAAAGTGTTCTTCTATGATTGACAGGGGAGCCTAGAACGGACATTCCGGAGGGTCGCTAGTGAGATTGAGAGCCGTATGGTCGTTTGGTGCATGGCGCGTCTTTTGAAGTCACTTGTGGAGAAATGTCCTGGGCTGTGAGTAGTGAGGAAACAGAAAGCGATTCTTGTGGGATGGAAGAGGGAAATAGTGACAATGAAGAAGATTGGGAGGGTAATCGTCAAAAAATGAAAAAAGCGGAAAAGGCAGAGATCAGTTGAAGGGGAGTCCAGTTCAGAACATTCAAGTGATGATCAATCCATACATTCCACAGCAAAACAAAATGAATACAAATTTATATTCATACTTAATCAGGCAGACTCTTTTACATATTGGAATCCGGTTCACTTAACAAAAACCATAAATAAACTTGTAGGAGAAGTCAGAGGTGCCAGAATCCTGTACAGTGGAGACTTGTTAATCAACTGCAGAGACAGCGCTCAGCAAGGTAAAGCCATGCGGTTCAACAAAATTGAGGGGATAAGAGTTAAGTGCAGCTTAGTGGAGAACAAAAAGATCAGCAGGGGAGTCATTGGAGAAGTTCCTCTAAGAGTGTCTGAAACAGAGATTCCAGAAAACATAAGTTGTGCAAAAGTAAAAGAGGTAAAATGGTTAAAAACAAAAAGAAACAGAGAAAGATCTGACAGTTTATCTGTGTTAATTAAATTCGAAGAAGAGCAATTACCCAGCAAAATGTTCATTGGTAACATCAGCTATGATGTTAACATTAACAATACTCCACCTCTGAGATGTTTCAATTGCCAAAAATTTGGACACATAGCAGCAGTTTGTAAAGGAAAACAGAGGTGTGGAAGGTGTGCAGGAAAGCATGAGTACGGAAAATGTGGAAAAGAAGCTAAGATAAAATGCTGTAACTGTGGTGTAATAAATGAAGATGGACATTTTGAGTACAGACAGTGGACCCAGAAATTCGTGTTCTAGTGTCAGCAGAACCACCTTCTGATTAATGCAGGGAAAACCAAGGAGCTGGTGTTGGACTTTGGTAGAAGCAGATTCCCCCCCTGACACAGGTGAACATCCAGGGATCAGACATTGAAATCTCTAAGTACCCAGGTGTTCATCTGAATAACAAACTGGACTCTCAACACCCAGGCTCTGTATAAGAAAGATATACAGGAGGACAAATGTGAGGACGGCATCTCTGCAGCAGGAACATTGGGAACCACCGACTATGGCACAGGAGCCTTGGGGACCCACATAGAGGCGGCACAGCTTGGGACCCATGAAGAGGTGAGGAGCACCCGCTGAGGGGCCTTGGAGTTGAGGAGTCCCCACTTAGGGGCCTTGGAGCTCAGCCATGGTGCCCTCGTAGTTCTCCGTTTCACAACATGAACCATAATTGGGTTCAGGGGTCTCTGGATGGCAGAGAGCGTTCTCAGGGGTCACTGGACGAACATAGTGTGCCCAGGGTCTCTGGACATCCCAGAGCGTGCTCAGGGGTCTCTAGACGAAGAGTGAGCGGCAGCATCAGACCAACTTGACAGGGAGGAAGCTGCATCCTCAGACTGACCCACTGGAGAGTGAGTGGCAGCGTCAGACTAAGCCACTGGAGAAGCCGTAGTATTTTTCTGCTGGCGGCGGTGCCTGCCCTTGGAAGCAGAATGTCAGTGTGGGATCAGAAGCTGGGGAAGCCGGTAAACAGATTAGTGAAGGTTTGGGTGGTGGAGATTTTTTTAGGAGTAGAGAGCACTCAGCCTGTATGTTCCACTCAGCTGAAGCTATGTAACCTGTCTGAAGAAAGAAAGTTTTGAGTTCTGGATCAGTCTGTAGTACTTTCTTTACTTCTTCAGCAGTCAATTAAGGACTGACAGGCAACAGAGGCAAAAATCCAGAACATGCAAAAATACTGAAAACCAAAGAAAATCCAGTGACCTCAGAGAAAATACACGTGGGGAGCTGAGATGAAGAAGCAACAAAACAACAAGAAAACAGGAACTGCAGACGTGGTGTCTATATGGGAAAGGTGTGAATAGAACTAACCAGGTGGAAGCCAATTGGAAGTAACAGGCACCAGGGGGCAATAGGTAGTAACTTAAGACATAACAGACAGACAGGAAACAGAGAGCAGAACCCTGACAAAATTAGGAGCATAAACACCCTTCTACAAAGAATCTACATAATGCATACATGAGGGCTCTGGTCCTTATCACTGTTTAGGATTATTAGCATAAAGATCAATAAAGGTCAGAGAATAATGTTTGCTCTATTCCATTTCCTCGGTTCCATCGATCTTCCCATTTAAACATTGGTGCAACATGACAGCCATTTTTTTTTTAGTCAGTCTATAAATCTATAATTTTACAGATAAATTAATTAAAGGCTCAGTTTTCAATTGAAGCATCTTTCCTTGCAGAAGCTCTTGGACATTCTTAGTCACTGAGCTGAGCTGTGATGGACTAAGGGGGGGAGAGAGAGGGCTGGATGGAGAGAAGCCGGAGGAGGTCACGAGTCTTTTTCACGGGGGGGGGGTGCTGGTGCCAACCCCAAACAATGATTGGCCATCCCTGTTGCCACCCCTATTGAACGTCATTACTTTGTGTTCTTTGGAGCCTCAGACAACTGAACTACCACCAGAACTACCAGTTTGACCAGTTTGACTTCAGGCACACAGATACCGTTTTTTTCCTCCCCAACATGTCACTTAAGGTATTTGCTGCTCTTTAGCTTCTTCTTGCCTTTTTTTTAGATCTTCTGCTAAAATAAAACTGGCCTGTATATTTGCTAACCTGATGTAGATTTTGTTTTTCCACATCTTTAGCTTTAAATGGGTAATAGTGGTTGTGCTTCAAACCAGTAACAGTAAACAGTCACATCTAGAGACCTCAGAGTGTGATATTTTCTACTTTGAGGTTAAGTCTGTTCTCAGCCTTCTTTTTTCAATGATACAATTTGATTTAATCCTCTAAATCAGTAAAACTAGGGTTTAAGATTCGGGGTATTGGCATCAGTTCGAAATTGTTTTTATAAACATTTTTTATTAAAGAATTATAAATGCCACGATAAACATATTTTAATAATTTTAGTGCCAATTAAGGCCTTAATTAA